GATCAAAACAAATGGTGTTTAATTGCTGAAGTTACCACCTTGAGGATAGATCTATCGTATGTACGTGACCTCAGAGCTCCATAGAAGTCAAGTGCTGTTCAAGGAGCAAGTTACAATTTACACTAAAACTTTGTAATATGGCTCATCAAGATCGCCAAATGAAACTTTACCTTGATTTGGAAACTTATCGACAATGCTTACAACATCTTTACGCAATATCCCATCTTTCTCATACATTCTGCTAACGATGTTTACGATATCTTCACGAGTTGGCTGCCTGTTTTTTTAAACATCAAACCCTTGAACTTAATGTGAGAAAAGGTTCCACAGCTGCAGGAAACTGAGATCTAATTTGTGTATTGTTATTACCAGTAGAATTTCTCCATTCTTCCTTCACGGATCAGTGGTGCGTAGAGCTTGGAGAAATCGTTCCCTGTGACAATAAGAGGAACTCTGTTTACAGTGTCAGCCTCTCTCCATTCTTGCCCCACACTTACCCTCGTAGGATTATCCGCAAGATTCATCAGAGTACCGACAACTATCTGATTGTTCACTGTCATTTGTGTTTCCCCTAAACCGAGAGCAATAAACTCGGTTAAGATTCATCTCTTCGGAACAAAAGCAGATGAGTCAACATAGCTCAAAGTTATTTGAAATAGCCTTTTACCAAATCTACCAAGGCCAGCATCAATATCATTGATCATGAGAACACTCATTTTTCCCTGCATTACAGGTCATCACTGAAGTTCAAGATAAATAAGTGTAGAAAACCAAATTTAATGATAAGGAAGCTTCTAACTTGATTCTGAATGACTTGTGAAGCTGTTCGATAACGGTCACGTATGAGTCTTCCCGGTTCCCCTGTTAGGAATATTAGAAAGATCAGTTCTTTCGATAGCACAATGGTCACTGAAAGCAACCAGGTACCAACTCTACGGAAGAGTGAGAAAAGTTGAAGCAATCACCAGCTCTATCGGATTCCAACTCTCCTGCAGACATTATAACCGGTTCAACTCCCATGGTTTTGAATATAAGTTCAGTCTGAAACGTTTTGCCTTGTCCTTTACCTCCCCAGATACCTACGCAGTAAAAAAGAACCGCAATGTTGAAGAGATGGTAGCAAGATTCCAAACACTGGATCTAACACAGAGAAGCAGGAGACATTCATCACCTAAGATCAATGGTATTTTTATATTAAGAGAGCTTGCAAGATAGTTCTTCACAATGTGGCAGGCTACAGAAAAACAATCGACATGGTAAGAGTCAACCTATCATCCAACTTGTTACCGATGAATTCCCTTTATCCCTCTAAATCTCCACCAAAGGCTTAGTAGTTAGTTCAATACAACTTACCAACTTTATCCTGTACAAAAAGAAGACACAAGATTATATAAGCAAGTCTGAAATTCAACAAAACACATTCCCACAATTTAAAGCTTTGGATTCAATTCTGAAAGCATCCAAACAAAGAGACAGACTATTAAGAAAATCATTCGGAAGTGTCTCTCATTTGCTAAGGATATTAAGTTGATTTCTTACAAATCAGATTACAAGAATGAAACAGTTACCATGAACGTTGGTGCTATGTAATAATCTCCTTGAAGATGTTCAAATGACCTCGTCGCCTTCTGACGGTAATCAAACACAATATCAGCTGCAAAATATACACAAACTCTGTTAACACTTCACATTGTCAAAACATCAAGTAAAGATTTGGTCTTTTGAATAGAACATCGAGTAAAGATTTGGTCTTTTGGACTTGAAAACCAAATTCCAAAGAGAGACTTAACAATCTTTGCCAAGGAAATCTCCGATGAATACGTCATCAATCATGCCGGATCGTGCTCCTACGGCTATGTTGACGTTATCTGACTCTGCTCCAAGCCTGTAGAGATAATCTTTCCCTTCGGAATCTTTGACTTCCCACGACGATTGCTCCGATAACTTCCGACGCTTTTCGCCACCGTCTTTGCTGACGTCATCTCCGGCAGATAGA